TTTTTCTGAAATAGTTATTAAGTCAATGTATGTATTTGTTCATTGTGACAATTTCTAAGTTAAATCCTCTTTTTTGCCTCAACTCTTCAATTTGCAAAAAACACAGTATCTGTGAAGTGCAATGATGTGAATCCCAATAAAACAAGATATGTCTTGTCCCCTCGGCAGAACAGATACTGATGACTACTTTCACAACAATTGTTTTTTCCTTCAGGAAAAATCAAGTGGATTTCAAAATTTGATTTTTGAAATAGTCAAAATGCCTTTTATTAAAAAAATCATAAAATAGAAAAATAAAAATTTTTAAACTCAATTAACATATTTAAAGTGTAACACTCTATGAATTTGCTGGACTGCCATAACGGAATACTACAAATTGTGGGTGACTTAAACTACAGAATATATTTTTTTTTCTTGCAATTCTGGAGGCTAGAGATCTACAATCAAATGGCAGGTGTCTGGGTTTCTGCTGAGGCCTCCTTTTGGCATGAAGATGGCTGGCTTCTCCCTATGTCCTCACATGATCTTTCCTCTGTACCCACACATCCACGGTGTTTCTTCCTCATCATATTAATTAAGGCCCATTCCAACAGCTTTGTTTTAAGTTAATCATCTCTTTAAATGCCAAATCAGTTACATTCTAGAGGTTAGGTAGGTACTAGAGGTTAGGGCTTCAACATATGAGCTTTGAGGGATACAATTCAGTCCATAACCCTTACATTTTAAGCAAATATTTCAAAGTTAAATGATTATCAGAAATCAAACTTACAAATTTTTGCAATAAACACATACATTGACTCAATATTTCAGAATCTATTTCTACTGAATTTGGTCATAATCTTGTATAAAAAAATGAAACAAATGAGGTATTAATTTCTACCTTCATGGTGCTTTCTGAATTGGGAAAGAAATGGGCATAGAGACCAGTATAATCATAGGATGTAGGTTTTCTTTTAAAAACTACTATACTAAAACTCTAGTAATAAAGACTCCAGTTCACAGTATCAGAAGTAATTTGGGAGATATAAGAATGTTAGAGTTGATTTTTCAAGATGATTATGACAAAAAAAGCACATTATATTTTGTGACCTATTTGTATAATTTATCTTAATTTGTATGGCTTGATATTGTGCAAATAAATGGAATTAGTCTGCAACATTTGAACTTAACTGAGCTATGTTAAACAATGTACCAGACCAAGAAAGTTAAGCGATTTCCTCATTGGTTACAGCTATGCTATTAAGTGCTATATAACCTTAAGTTAGTCACTTAACTTCTCTGGGCTTTGCTTTCCTCATCTGTAAAATATGGGCATTAAATAAGATGAACTATGAAATTCTAATTCGTTCCTTACTGGATGAGTACTGTATGTCACCTTTGTAGACCAAAGAGTTTACTTTCCAAAACCAGAGAGGTTTTGCTTAACTTTTCCAAAAGTCTTCCAAGAATAAAGTTTATATAGAAAAAATTAATCCCAGAGTATATTTAATTTAATTCCTGATTAATGAAATTTTGTTTTAAAAACAGACATGAAATGAGAAAAAATATTTGAAGATTTAATAAGTATTTTAGAAGTAGTAGGAAGTATGGCAATACAGACTAAAAGAATCTTAGAGATCGATAATTTAAGTCAGTACCCCAAATTCTATAAACAGAAAAAAGCAAGACATATACTACAATGTGAAATTTAAAAATCCTTACATTTTGTAAACTCTCTAACTTGTGACTTAGTTTTACACTTCATGACAATAGTTTGCTTATTATAACTAATCCCTGAAATCTAGTTAAACAAAAATGGACACATGGCTAGTTTTAGAAACCAAGACCTCCAATGTTGCATTACACTTGTATAAAGCTACAGGAATATCATTGCTGCTAAGGGTCCTGGAGTAAAAAAAATAAAAATCAGAAATATCATTTCACATAGAGGACAGATAATATAATAGATATGAATGAAATAATAATTTAGTGAGTTGGATGATAAGGTGGAGAGAGTACAAGCAAGGAGTAAAGAAACGGCAAAATGTGTGTGTCTGTATATGCATGTGTGTGTAGAAAACACAGAGACAGAGACCTATATTTTAGTTCTTGACATTACGGCAAGTTAACAAGTGTTATTGTCTCTGTATCCAATACCATAACTCCAATGCCACAGAAAATGATAATGGAGAGAAGAAAGAGAGAATGACTTGGAAATGTTGAAGGGTAAGAGAGTGTTGAGGAACCACAAACCAGAGTGGGAGCCTGAGCACCATCACAGTTCATGTATAGTTCAGGTGTACCTTACCTGAACTGTGTACACTCTTGCTTTTTGTCAGGTGTACACTCTTGCTTTTTGTCAAGTGGAAAATGGATATTTTTGATCACAAATGTAAAAATAGTATTTTCTGAGAGCATAAACACCAAGTTTTTCTCTATCTCCTCCAGCTTATCTATTGCTTAAGGGATTACAGCTGATGGAGAAAGTTCTTAGAAATATCAATTCCCAAAATGTAGGCACATAGAGGTTTTCTAAGAGCCTACCAGTTTCTGCCCTAAGACCACTAATTACACAACATTTGAGAAACAGAAGCTGTTGCTTAGTCTTTGAGTTCCTCACCCTGAGCAGACAGTAACAACCAAGGTATGTAATACACCTGTGAGAATATCTGAGAACAATTTCTTTAAGAATATAGAAAAGAAACCTAAAACTCCATTATATGCAAGATAGATAGATCTATCTCTTTCTTTATCATCTCCACCTATATCTCCCTCTACATTAATTCAGAGAATTTGATAACTTAAAATAAATGTGGTAAACACTAAGTAGATAAGGGAAAATATATTAGTAACAAAAACATTACAAGCAATTTTAAGAAATAATAAATTAGAATTGCTGAGCACAAAAATAGTAAACATGAAATAAAGCTTCCAAGAGCTTATAATGAAGAGCAGAATGAATCTATTAATGAAAAATAAATGAATGAGTAGGCTTTAAGAAGTTGAGAAATACATCACATAAGAAGAAAAATATGATTTTTTTTACCACAGAAATTTGAAGGAGAGAACTAAAAAGATATTTTCAATTTCAGAAAAAGATCAAAATAGAGGAAAAAATATGAAAAAACAAAACCCTAAAACTCTCCTAAAATTAAAGGAAGACAATTATTTTTAGATTGAAAAATACTAAACAGAATAAATGAGGAATGGGTCCACAACTGAGTACATTTTATTAATGCTTCCTGACGTAAAAATCACATTTTCGAAAAAAAAAAAGGACCAATCACTTATAGTAGAACTGCCAATGAACTAAACCTCAACCCTGTATTTTATATTCAATAAAAGTCTTTCCATTGAAAGAGGAAATTATTCTGAGAAATCCAAGGTCTCAGAATGTTTATTATCCGCTTTGAAAAATCCTTATATAGGGTAATTATATAATTTTTGTCTAAACTTCTTAGCATGGCTAAATGCTGAATAATTATCAACTAAAGAATATCTACAACTGTGCTTATCAATCTAGGTAAACTAAATCTGTCCCATGCAAACTCAGACAAATGGTCACACTACCGTTGGAAAAGATATACTTTCAAGAAGAAAAAAAATTCAGATAAAGGTCTGTATAAGGAAGAATAATATTTAGTAGCTTAGTAATATATTGTTTTTATAAAATTTTACATATTATATTCAAAAGTTCTGACTTAAAATTCTACATAATAGCAATACAAAGTAAGGATGGTGGATGGAAGAGGCAAGGGAAGCTGAAGGGTAGTGAAACCATTTTTGAGTATTGGTCTTAGGATATCTGCATCCAATTTAAGAAATTTAATTAATAGAGACATATAAACCTAAGAATGAATTTCACTAAGCTAGGGGAACTACAACAATAATTAGAACAAAATTTATGATTTCTAATCAATGGAATAGTAAAACCTTTCAATAAAAGTCAGGAAAGAAAACAAAAACAAGATAGTGTGCATACAAAACATAAATAAAAGGTAAAATACATTTTATCACATTTATTACAATAAATTAATATGAGATATACCATCAAATCAAGAAAATCTCTCATCTGACAACAAGTTGTCCACAGGAAACATAATAAAGCAAATCAGAAAAGACTAAGCTTATTCAGGGAAGCAGAAACCAAAAAAGTGAGTTATCAATTTTAAAATTATAAAATATAGAATAAAACATTGACATAAAGATAAAAATTTATATATATAAAGTTTAATTACCATGAATATCCACATTAACACACACACACACACACACACACACACACTTTCACCTCAGAATATATAATGCAGCAACTGAATAAAATAAAAGAAGAAATAGATAAATAGTAGTTGAAAATCTTCAGAGATTTGTATCAGGCAAAAATATTGAAGATTTAATTAGCTGAATTAAATTAAGTCAACTAGAAGTTTACCACTGAAAGAAAAAAAATCTTTTCAAAGGCATATAGCACATCATATTAAGCTCCAAACAAACTTTTAATATATTTCAAATAAAGATTGTATTGCACCTTTTTGACACAAGGCCTTTGTATCAGTTCATTGTCACACTGCTATAAAGAGATACCCAAGACTGGGTAATTTATACAGGAATGAAGGAAAGAGGTTTAATTCACTCACAGTTTTGCATGCTGGGAAGGCCTCAGGAAATTTACAATTATGGCAGAAGGCATGAGAGAATCAAAGGCATGTCTTATGTGGTAGCAGGCAAGAGAGAGAGTGAATGAGCAAAGGGGGAAAAGTGCCTTATAAAACCATGGATCTAGTGAGAATGCACTCACTCCCACGAGAACAGCATGGGAGAAACTTCCCCCATGATCCAATCACCTACCACCATGTCCCGCCCTTGACATGTGGGGATTATGGGAATTAAAATTTTGAGATGAGATTTGGGTGGGGATACAGATAGAAAGCATATTATTCTTCCCCTGCCCCTCCTGAATCTCATGTGTTTTCACATTTCAAAACCAATAATGCCTTCCCAACAGTCCCCCTAAGTCTTACCTCATTCTGTCATTAACTTAAATGTCCATAGTCCAAAGTCTCATCTGAGATAAGTCAAGTTCCTTCTGCCTATGAGCCTGTAAAATAAAAACCAAGTTAGTTACTTCTAAGATACAATGAGGGCATAGGCATCGGGTAAATACATTCATCAAATGGGAGACATTGGCCAAACCAAAGGGCTAAGGCCCCATGTGGGTCTGAAACCAGGCAGGGCAGTCATTAAATCTTAATGGTCCAAAATGATCTCCTTTGACTTCATGTCTCACATCCAGGTCACACTGATGCAACAGGTGGGCTCCGAAAGTCTTGGGTAGCCCTGCAACTGTAGCTTTGCAGGGTACAGCCCCACTCCTGGCTGATTTTGTGGGCGACATTGTCTGTGGCTTTTTCAGGATTATGGTGCAAACTGTCAGTGAATCTACCATTCTGGGTTTTGGAGGACAATGGCCTCCTTCTGACAGCTTCACTAGTCAGTACCCCAGGGGGGACTCTGCATGGGGTATCCAATCCCAAATTTCCCTTTTCCACTTTCCTAGCAAAGGTTCTCAATGAAGGTTCTGCTTGTGCAGCAAACTTCTACCTGAACATTCGGGCTTTTCCAAACATCCTTTGAAATCTAGGCGGAGGTTCCCAAACCTCAGTTCTTCACTTCTGTGTACCCACAGGTCCAACACCATGTGGAAGTCACTAAGGCTTGGGGCATGCCCCTTGTGAAGTAAAGCCTGAGCTGTAGGTTAGACTATTTTAGGCACAGCTGGAGCTGGAGTGGTAGCAGCTGGGACACAAAGTGCCAATTTCCAAGGCTGCACAGAAAGGTGGTGGGGTAGGTAGGTGGGACCCTAAGCCCAGCTCACGGAACCATTTTTTTCTCATAGGCCTCTGAGCCTGTCATGGGAGGACTGCTGTGAAGGTCTCTGACATACCCTGAAGACATTTTCCCCATTTTTTTTTTATGACAAACAAGATTTACGCAAATTTCTGCAACCAGCTTGAATGTCTCCCTGGAAAAGAGGTTTTACTTCTTTATTACATGGTCAGGCTGCAAATTTTCCAAACTTTTATGTTCTGCTTGCCCTTTAAACATAAGTTCAAAGTTCCACAAAACTCTAGACCAGGGGAATAATGCCACCAGTCTCTTTGCTAAAACATAACAAGAGTGACCTTTATTCCAGTTCCTCATTTCCATCTGAGACCACCTCATCCTGGACTTTGTTGTCCATATCACTATTAGCATTTTGGTCAAAATCATTCAACAAGTCTCTAGGAAGTTCCAAACATTCCCACACCTTTCTGTTTTCTTCTGAGCCCTCCAAACTCTTCCAACTTCTGCCTGTACAGAGTTCCAAAGTCACTTCCACATTTTCTGGTATCTTTATAGCAGAACCCCACTTCCAATACCAATTTACTATATTAGTCCATTCTCATGTTGCTATAAAGACATACCCAAGACAGGATAATTTATAAAAGAAAGAGGTTCAATTGACTCACGGTTCCACATCGCTGGAGAGTCCTCAGGAAACATAATTATGGCGGAAGATGAGAGAGAAGCAACAGAACATCTTACATGGCAGCAGGCAAGACAGAGCCAAAGATGAAAAGCCCCTTATAAAACCATCAGTTCTTCTGAGAACTCACTCACTGTCATTAGAACAGCATGGGGAAACTGTCCCAGTGATTTAATCACCTTTCACCAGGTCCCAACCTTGATATATTATAATAATTTGAGATGAAATTTTGGTGGGACACAGATCAAAACCACATTAGCCTTGCTTTGTCGCCTAGACTACAATGGAGTGGTGTGACCACTGAAGCCTCAACAGCCTCAGACTCCTATGCTCGAGTGATCCTCCTGTCCCACCTTCCTGGCTATTTGGAGCCATAGGCACATACCACTGCAACTGGCTAACTTTTTGGGGGGTGTAGGATAAAGACAGAGTCTAGCTATGTTGCTCAGCCTAGTCTTGAATTCCTGTGCTCAAGCAATCTCCTGACTTAGCCTCCAAAAGTGATTAAGATTATAAGAGTGAGCCACCACACTTGGCCCATCTTAGGTTCAGAATATAAAGCAATACAATTCAATCAATAAGGAAATCAATAAGGAAAGGATGGCTAGTCTGATTGATGGGTAGAGATATATATTTGTTTAAACCTATAGTTCAAATATAATTTGGTTACATTCAGTTTTAGAAAACTATATATGTATATACAATATGTATATATCCACCCCATATATATGTGTGTATGTCTATAGACACAAAAATCCCCTAAAAGCTATTGTCAGTTAATTATTTTTCTAACTCATGATTTTAATAACCATATATAACATTTTATTTATAAATGTGAATTTTAGATCTAATGCTTTTTTTTTTTTTTGAGACAAAGTTTTGCTTTTGTTACCTAGGCTGGAGTGCAATGGCATGTAGATCTAATGCTTTCTTACTGGATATTAAGCAATTTGCCATTTTTGTGTATTATAATTACTAAAAAATATGATTATATACAAAGCTCTCTAAATATTTGTAATTTTTTATTAATGATAATATCCTTCAGGAAATTACCCCTGAATTATACATGAGCTGTTGCTTTTACATTCATAAGACTTTCATAACAAAAATCATTTATACAAATTTAGAATTCTTTATTCTTTCATCTTTATATATTTATTTATTTATTGGGACAGAGTTTCACTCTTGTCACCTAGGCTGGAGTACAATGGCGTGATCTTGACTCACTGCAACCTCCACCTCCCGGATTCAAGCAATTCTCCTACCTGGCCTCCTGAGTTGCTGGGATTACAGGTATGCCCCACCACATCTGGCTAATTTTGTATTTTTAGTAGAAATGGGGTTTCACCATGTTGGCCAGGCTTGTCTTGAACTCCTGACCTCAGGTGATCCACCTGCTTCAACCTCCCAAAGTGCTGGAATTGCAGGCGTGAGCCACTACACCCAGCCATTATTGTTTCTTAAGGTCAAAAATGACCTTTTATTGCCTAATACAGCAGACATTTTCACTTTTATCTAAATTTGAATTCTTAGAGCATTGTAATCAATTAACTGTACCTTTCTCAAACAATAAAGATGATTATTTGTTCATCTATTTTCTAACTCCTCCCCACTCTACTTGATGTCTAACTATCAAAGTGCCTCAGGGCTCCCACTATACCTCTTCCCATCCCCATGTATATGGTATAGATATAGGTTCATAATTACTAAAAGCACTTCCCTGCCAGAGCTATTCTGTTACTTCTGAATTCATCTATAAGCTTTGCTTGATTTAACTACTTGGATGTCTTTGAGCTATTTCAAATTTAATATGTCTGTTATGGACTGAATATTTGTTTGCTCTCTAAAATTCATATGTTGAAGTCCTACCTCCCAGTTTAACAGCATATGGATATGGGGATTTGGGGAGGTAACTAGAATTATACGAGAACAAGAGGCTGGTACTTTCACAGTGAGATTAGTGCTCTTATAAGAAAGACCAGAGAGTGTCTGATCTCTCTCTCATTCATACTATATATACGAAGAAGAGTTTATGTGTGCACACAGAGAGATGGTGGTCACATATGAGCTGTGAAGCTGGTTTACTGTGCAGTGATCACCAATTTGTTTCAGTACAGTGGGACAAAAGATTTATACACAAAACATGTTACATGAAGTGGTTTATTATTTACAGATAGGCAGCAAAGGAAAACTAGAATTCATTTCAAACTAGTTCCTCAAGACTCAGCAAGCTTTGTGGGGTGGATAAAGTCTTGCCTGCACATATTCCACCTGCACCATAGCTGAGAGAGTCTAAGAAGTAGCATGCCCTGGGTTTTACACGCCAGGTATCACAGAAAATCCTGGGCCAATGTGCTGTTTTGGCCAGTGTCTTCCCTATATCAGGAAATTGAGTTCCAAGTATATTCTATAGTTATTATTTAGAATAACAAATTAGAAAGTTGCGGGATAAACTGATTTGGATCATTGCCACCCAGAGGATTATCCCGAAAAAGCCAAGAGAAGAGGCCTGATGATAAAACCTACATTGTGGCACCATGATCTTAGACATCTCAGTCTCCAGAACTGTTAGAAATGATTTTCTGTTGTTGAAGCCACCCAGTCTATCACATTTTGCACTATGGCCATCAAAGCTAGCTAAAACAATCTCTAAGATACTGTTCTTAATTTTTACTTCAGAGTGGTTCACTAGTTTATTCTTAGTAAAGAGCGATAAAATCTACCCAGATACCAAAGTCAAAAATAACAGTCATGGTTTACTCCACCCTCTGACCCCTCACAACCAATTCAACAGAAAACCTTGTCCTTTCTGACTACAATATACTGACTCATTCTTTTTCTCTCCATCTCTACTGATACTACTTTTGCCCAAGTCACAATTAATTCTTGGACTATTGCCATGGAGTCTTAACTGATTTCTCGGGTGACTTTCTAATACATTCTTTGCGGTGGAGTGATTTTAAAAATGTAACTTACATTATGTTGCTCACACCCTTTAAATCTTGTAATAGCTTTCCATTAGATTTTGAATACAATCTAAACCCTTTAACATGGCCTGTTGACCCAGGTCCAGCTTCTTTCTCCAGCTTCATCCCTGGCTGCTTATCCTTTCTCACTCAGCTCCAGTTACAACATTCTCTATGGATTTCTAGAACATGCCAGTCCATGTAAAGCACTGATGTTTTTCCTTGGGTATCCACTGCCTTTATCTGGATTAGTCTTCTAGACTTCTGTCTATTCCTTTCTTTACTTTTGGAGATATAAACCTAAATAATCCTATGAGGTCAATTATTTTCTGTGTTTTCTAGTGGAACCTTACTTTCTTACCAATACAATTGGCCCTTGCTTCATCTAGTTATTTGTTTGTTTTGAATATTTTTCTCTTTTAATTTATACAATTTTTTGTTTCCCTAAGTAGAACATAAGGATATGAGAGGAGAGCTGTGTTTACCTTGTTTTTCTCTGTGAATGAGAATTTTTTATTTATTATGGTGTCTGGCCAAGAGTGTTGGCTTAAATTATTACATACAATAATTACATGAGGGATTTTTTATAGAACTTACAACAGTGGGTATTTATAAAAGACTTCTAATATAAAATCCATATATATAGACATTTCAAAAAAATTCTCTAGACAAATGAAAATTAAAACAAAACATACCAAAATATATGAGGCACAGCAAAAGTGATCCTAGGAAGGATGTTTATAGCAATAACCACCTACATTAAAAAGAAGAAATATATCAAATAAATAACCAAACTCTACACATCAAGGAACTACAAAAAGTAGAAACTAGGCCCAAAGTTAGCAGAAGATAAATACTAATGATTACAGCAGAAATAAATAAATAATAGAAAGATAACAAAAAAATTAACAAATTAAGAATTGTTTTTATAAAAAAACTGACATTCTTTTATTTTATTTTATTATTGTACTTTAGATTCAGGGGTACATGTGTAGATCATGCAGGATTGTTGTATAGATACACACATGGCAATGTAGTTTGCTGCCTCTATCTGCCTGTCACCTACATCTGGCATTTCTCCCCATGTTATCCCTCCCTGACCTCCCCATCACCCCCCACTGTCCCTTCCTTGTCTCCCTCCAGCAGACCCCATGTGTGATTCCCCCTTCCTGTGTCCATGTGTTCTCATTGTTCAATACCCGCCTATGAGTGAGAACATGCAGTGTTTGATTTTCTGTTCTTGTGTCAGTTTTCTGAGAATGATGGTTTCCAGATTCATCCATATCCTTACAAAGGACACGAACTCATCATTTTTTATGGCTGCATAGTATTTCATAGTGTATATGTGCCACATTTTCCTTGTCCAGTCTATTGTTGATGGGCATTTGGGTTGGTTCCAGGTCTTTGCTATTGTAAGTAGTGCCACTATAAACATATGTGTGCATGTGTCTTTAAAACAGAATGATGTATAATCCTTTGGGTATATACCCAGTAATGAGATTGCTGGGTCAAATGCAATTTCTATTTCTAGGTCCTTGAGGAAGCACCACACTGTCTTCCACAATGATTGAACTAGTTTACACTCCCACCAACAGTGTAAAAGTGTTTCTATTTCTCCACATCCAGACCCTGCTTGCCTGGGGGTTACCTGCGGGGGCTGCAGAACAGTAAGAGTTGCTGCCGGTTTCTTCTGTTATCTTCGTCCCAGAAGGGTATCTGTCAGATGTCGGCCTGAGCTCTCCTTTATGAGGTGTCTCTTTGGGTATATAGGGGTTGTCAGGGAGCTGCTTGAGGAGACAGTCTATCCCTTAAGGGAGCTCAAGTGCTGTACTGGGAACTCCATTGTTCCGTGCACAGTTGCTGGGCAGGTGCCTTTAAGTCTGCTGCAGCAGAACTCATAACCGCCTCTTTTCCCAGGTGCTCTGTCTTAGGAAGGTCAGCTTTCTTTATACGTTCCTGTGGAGCCGTTGCCTTTTTAAATAGGTGCCCTGCCTCACACGGAGTAGTCTAGTCACAGTCTGCCAGCAGAGGCGCTGCTGAGCTGCCGCAGGCTGTGCCCAGCTGTGTGTGATCTGCCTTGGTGAAGTCGGACTACCTCGGTAGTGGTGGTCGCCCTTCCCCCCACTGAGCTGGACTGTCCTGGGTCCAGCTGTGCTTGCTGCGAAACTCCCAACCCAGAGCTTTTCAGATTGCTTGTTTTGGGGGGTGGTACCCGACTAGCCAGATCGCCTGGCTCCCTGTCTCTGCCCCCTCCCTTTCAGTTAAATGGGCGTCTCCCAGGCCTTCCAGGCACCCATCGAAACGGCCTCCCAGATTTGTGTGGGTTTCTGTGCGCCTACACAGCACCAGCGGAAACTTCCGTGCTGAAAACTCATGATGCTTTTCGGCCTGAGAATCTCCTGGTCTGTCGGCAGTGAAAATTTGTTTGGAAATGCGGTGGGCACTCACCTTCTGCCGTCGTTCTTGCTGGGAACTGCACTCCGGAACTGGTCCTATTCGGCCATCTTGGATCCTCTCCTGACATTCTTAATTAGATTAATAATCAAAGAAAGAAAGCACAAGGAAATAAAAACAAATGAAAGAGAATACATTACAACAGATGCCTCAAATATAATAAAGATCAGAAGGGGCTATTGGGAACAATTTTATCTCAAACAATTGGATAAGATAGAATGGATGGATAAATTTCTAGAAATGTAAAACATCCTAAAACTGAATCAAGAATAAATTGAAAGCCTGAACAAAGAAATAATAAATAAGAAGATAAAATTATTAATCAAAAATAGCCAAAGGGAAAAAACCTCAAGACTCAATGGCTAGATGGGTAGATTCTATCTAACATTCAAAGCATAATTAACACTAATTCTTCTTAAATACTCCTCCAAAATAGCAGAGGGAACACATTCAGACTCATTTTATGAGGTCAATATTACCCATCCCAAATCCAGAAAAAGACTCCATAAGAAAGGAAAATAGACCATTATGTGTAATGAACATTGATACAAATATCCCCAACAAAATGCTAGAACATTCCTTTCAGACGGTGAGAATATAATTAATGGAGATATGAATATATGAAAAGAAAGTAGTATACATTGTTTATGTCAGTGGTAAGCTTAAGAGAAAGACAAAAGCCATGGAACGCAAATTATATTAGACATAAAAATCAGATGAAGAAGTACACAGAAGAGACTTTCAGACAGACATGTACATTAATTGAGGGTACAAATGAAAGAGCCAGAATTGAGTTGGGTAAAAGTAATTGCATGAAGCTGAGGTTTCAGATGTTGAAAGAAATAAAGGTAGAGCTTAGAAGTGTCTTAAGTTTACTTTACCCAAATATCCCTGTAAAATGAAAAAATCCCTGTCAAAACGACTATAGAGATAACTTATTTTAAATACATTTTTTAAATAGTTCTTAAAGTTGTTTCGAAAAAATTACATTAGACAGCGATTACATTAGACAAGCGTGAGCATTATGTAATCCAGAAGCATCACAGTAAGGTTGGATGACATTTCCATTAAATGGCTATCATTCTCAGGAAAATAATCTATATTTTTGAGCCTCAATTTACTCATTTGTAGAATGAAGATTAAATATGATGTCTAGCTCAGAGAATTTCTGGAAGCAAATGATTTAATACATCTAAAATGCTTGGAACAAGGCTTGACATCTAGAAACCTTCAGATGGCTGAAAATATTAACTACTATTTAATTACATGTAATTAGCTTTAATTGTAACTAATATTTAAATCTAATATTCAAGTAGTACTAAATGAAATTTTATTAAAGGGAAGAGGAAAGAAAATACTGCTATTTTTTGTAGGGCTTTTCATTTTAGATCTATTTTCTTCACAATCTTATAAAAAGGCGACATTTGAACGGGAAGTGTAAGGAATAAGGAGCAAGCCTATACATACCTAGAGAAAGATTATTCTAAGCAGAAGAAATAGTAGGTAGAAAAACTTGAGGGCGGCACTCTTTTGGTGAACTTGAGGAACAGAATAAATCAGGCAGATGGTGGTGAAAGGTAAGGTCTGGAAGGTGAGCAAGATCATGTTCAGTCTTTCAGTTCTGGACAGAAAGATTCGATTTTGTTCTTATTGTAAAAGGAAGCCATTGGAGGATTGGGGTAAGAACACGATATATTAAAAAAGATATTTTGAACCATTGTGTGGAAGACATAATATGATGGGAAATCATTTTAGTAGGAAGATTTGTTAGGCAGCTATTGATTTGTTAGGCAGTAGAGAAAAATAATGAATTCAAGTGGAACAATAAGAGTAGTGATGAGTGTTTCCTATAGGTAAAATAAAAATTAAACACTGAAAAGAAAATTAACTCATTATTCAGAATTATCATGTTTTAAAATAAGAGAGTTTAGATTATCTTTATATTGTTGGTTCTCCTAAAATATCACAGCTCTCAGAGTGGTTGTGATATTTCATTTGGGGAGGATTCACAGAAGGTGAGAATTGCAAATTGCCATCCTGTAATTTAAAATTCATTTTACAAAAATATTGAAACCAAACACGTTCAGGCAGGGTACCAATGTGGCTTACCTGCTGTGCATAAAATAGTGCCGAGAAGTTGTAAGAGAAAAATTGGCAAAATACGAAAAAAAAAATGCTTTTGACGAAAGTACCAAGGTAGGCAGAATAATTACCCTCCAAAGATATTTATTTTCTAATCCCTGTAACTTTGTGTAAATATATGAAGTTACCTGGCAAAGGGAATTAAGGTAGCAAATAGAATTCACTAATACACTGGCATTCAATTGGTAGAATATCTCGGTTTACCCAGTTGGGTCCAAAGTAATTCATTATTCCTCAAATGTGGAAAAACAAGGCAAAATACACTATGTCAGAGTAAAGCAATATGAGAAAGTGTTGATGAGATTAATGCAACTATCCCTTGCTCTCTTTGAAGATGAACGGGGGCCACAAACTAAGAATGGCAAGTGGTTGTCCATAACCTTGCAAAACAAGAATTTAGACTGTCCTCTAGAGCCTCCAGAAAGGTTAGTAACTCTGCTGATAACTTGATGTTTGCCTAGTAAGACCCATTTTGGACATATGAACTGTGAGTTAATAAATCTGTGTTTGCATAAGCTATTAAATTTGTGGCCATTTGCTTCCAAAGTAACAGGAAATGAATGCAGTTAATAAAATATGTTTATATTAGGGGAAGCTGAGTGAAAGGTATATGAAAACATTGTAATATCTTGTGACTTTTCTGTGAATCTAACATTATTCCAACAGAAAAGATTTGAAAAAGAACCCCTCTAAACATTCAAGTAGCATCTTTCTAAAATTGACCTTATAATCAGTTCCCTAACCTCCACTTTCTACATTAACTCTGTCAATTAGTTTTACTCTCATGCACCAATTAAAGCAAATCTGAAAGCTGAATATCATCCTGGATGTTTTCACTATCTCCTAAAGATCACCTCCTAACAATAATTATTCCGCAAGGTAATGTATCAATTATTTTCCCATTCTTACTCAACTTTGTGACTATTACTAGAGACCTCTAAGCAATTTACTTGCTTTTAATATTTCTGCAATTAGTGAATGTTGTCCCTTTAATACAAACAACTATTCAGGATATTCTATAACAATCCATGATGATATTCTACTATCCATAGCAATATACGCTTTCAGAAGCTCATACTAGCTCTCCATTTCTTTTTCCCTTTCTCTTTTCTATCCATAGAACTCCAGGCACAGGGAACTCCTCTATTCTCTTTGAACAAGCTATACTATTGACACATATTTGCTTTTGCATTTTGACATGTTTCTAACATATTTTACTACCTTTTCATTGTTTCATAAGTCATAACGTTTATAACAATTACAGTGAAAAATTGACCTCTCCATGATCTTTTATGGATTCCTTTTCTGTGACCTTACACAATAAGATCAGTTAGTTGAGTTACTCAGAGATAAGTTGGTGCACAGTTCTATGGCAGCACATGTCACATTGCATTTTGATTGTTGGAAGTGTATACTCTCCATCCATCTCTATATTCTTCAAAGCAGAGACCATGTCTGATTTGTCATTGGCTGTCCAATAGCTACAAATAATCGCCATTATCAGCTGTGCGTAGGATTAAAAATTGCCCACGAGACAAATCCAAAAGCTTGTTACAAATGGAGTCTGTTTGTTGATCTACACATATTGCAGTTTCATCATTTACATAACCTACTCTTTAGAATATCACTGCTTGATTCCACAGTTTACTAAGCTTAGGACACAGCTTCTGAAACTTAGAGTAAATATATCTTTGTTATATTAATCCTTAATATCCCCCAAGTCTTAGAGATCTTTGAACTAAGGGCAAGAGTTCCAATGATGTGCCAGCAACTTTCCCCTAGCTTGTTTCAAGACTCAAGTGATATTTATCATCCTATCAGGACACATCTGAATACACTGAAACTAATGGGAGGCTCATTCAACTTAACAGGATACACATTTACTTATCAGAATACACATCAACTTAACAGAATACATATGTAACATATTTGACTTCCATACAACTTTTGATGCCTTCCCTTTGTTAATTCTGACTGCAGGGGCTAATGCCCTTGCAGTGGTGTAGAACAGTAATGAGTCAAATGAAAGCGATGGGAATTGAAAGGCCGGACCTGCTTAAGTTGATGTTGGTGGCATAATAGAGGGGAAAACTGAATGTGAAAAATGTGAGTAATGAAATTATTTGAGGCTCCCAGCTTGAATAGATGAGAGGATATTACGATCATTGCCAAAGAATATTAGTCATCAATGCATCACTGTCTTCTGTTGTACACAAACTCTCCTTTGTGCTAATATATTTTTTAAAAACCCTGTGAGATACTAAAAACTAAATAAATACTGTAAAATTTCTAATTTTCTTGTCAATTAGATGAGGTGTAATGAGGCAACAAATATACTGAAAACAACAATGCATGAAAGGAGAGAAAAGTTGGATTTAATTTTGCCTTTCAATTACCATCTGTGTAATCTGGGAAAAATACCTTTGCTGAAACTTTTTTTTAAGGTGTATCTTTAAATACAACAAATTTGTTGTTTTGTGTAAGGACTATTGTGTATATAAACATCAAAATTATGTATGTATATATGCAATGTATACTTTATATATTAAACTCTAAATTCCAACAATCTAAATAATATTGGGCATTACTATTATTGAAGTTGCTTAAAAATTACTGCATATCTTTCTTTTTGCACTCAGAAGACTCTTGAAATTGTTCACATATTGGCTTTCTTTGCCCTTTGACTCAAGCAATTAAGAATTTTTATGCACAAAATATAAAATAGAAGCTTTATTCACTGTTAGGCTCACGAATATGTCAATTGTCAGTTTCAGGGTGAGGTTTCCAGCCCCAGCTGAGGTTCTAGGGGAGTGGGTAAATGGGCATATAGCTGAAAGAATACTTGGGGCCATAGACAGGTGAAATGCGGCTTTATTCAGTATGTATCTTGGCTATCCGC